CGCTAATAATTGTTTCTCAAGATTCGAAAGATTCCAATTCATCAATTCTAATCGACTTTTATGGAATAGCGATTTTTGAACGTGGATATCACCAAAATTTTATTTACAAAAAAAAAAAAAAATAAACAAATTATTTTTATCGAAAAAGTTATTCAGATATCTAATTTAGGTAATTTTAATACATTAAGGTAATGGATTTCACCCCTTTATTGTGTATAAATTTAGCATTCTTTTTATTTTATTTTTTAGTAACTTCTTTTTTACTAGTGTTCGAATTTGTTTTTAATAAAAATTATCATTTCGGATGTACGCTGCTATATGTGTATTTTTTAGTTTTTTTTATTTTTTTTATTTTTTTAAATTTTGTTTTTTGAACGAAGTGATTATTTTGTTTTTAAATAATTTTTATTTTTTATTTTATAGGTTTTTTTCCTTTTTTTATGGACTTTTTTTCCTCAAAATACAATTTTATATGTTAATGAATAGTTTAAATTACGTCCTAGTTTTTATCCACAAATACTGTGTCACTAAAGTTCAATTTTTAATTTTCGAATTATTCGATTTTGTTATAAATAATTCCAATTCCTTACGACAAATGGCTTTTAATTTTCAATCTAAACGAGAAGGAAATATTTTCTATGAAAAGGTAAATTTCTCGTAAATTAATTTTACTCTTAAAGGTAGATTCGTGTAATAGAAGAGTACTGGTCTGAGAAACAGCTAAGAGGAACATACATGTTATAATCGAACCTCCCATGTCAACTGCCACTTCGAGCCGTGAACAGGAATTGCTTGACCGTATCGCATTGTTAGAGGAATCACTTAACAAGTCTGTCCATGGTATGTATAAAATAATGGGGAAGGTCGAGAGTTTGCAGAACAAGCATTTTCTAACAAGTCAATATATTGCAGAGTTAGACGTCGTTAGCTGAAGGCTTTCAATTAGACAGTGAATATTGAACACGCGACATTCCAAGGCCTCAAAGATTTTATACGTAAAAAGTACCAGCCACTCGAAAATGATGGAGCGGTATTAAACTTCATTAATGATGAGGTAGATATTCACTAGGAACGATGCTTCATTTCGAGTCATATTACAACTGTTCGTAGCCTTAAGTTTAGCGTGTTTACAGAGACTCCATCAAAGCTTTCTCGGAATGGTCGTTCCCAAAAGTGTGTCATTTTTATGGTATTAGAAGTGACCCGAATCCTGGCATTGATGAGTTTCCTGTTTTTTCATGTAGCTCTGCTGACCTAAATAGCTAAAAATCCAAAGTCGTGGTTAAGCACTTAACGGCTGAATTAAAACTTCGTCAAGATGAGACTCCTCTCAACAAGACATATGAGGCAACGGAGACTAATTATTCTTATTGTTATCTGGCAACCGGGGTCTCGTTATATAAATATATTTAAATTCATACTGGAAAATATCGAGGGTCGACTGGTAGGTTCCTTGGTATATTCTTAAGAAGAAATATCGTCGCGAAACAAAAAAATTTATTTTTATTGTAAATTTATAACTTTTATTTTTCTTTATTTTTTTTTTAAAAAAAAAAACTTTTTGATGAAGGTAATGAAATCGGACATTTTAATAAAACAAATTAATTTTATGGATCCAAAGATAGAAAATCAACAATATCTTGTATTATTACTCCATATTTTAATTAATATATATATATTTTTTATTATAAAAATCGATGCTTTCTTTCATGGCAACTGTTTAGAAGCGGAATTTTGTCGTATGAACAAATTTCCTTTTAAAATTTTGCAAATAAAGTTTAACTTAAAATTTCATATTTCAAAAGACAACCCCGTTACAAATTGCTTTTTGATGATCTGCAACTTTTTATACCAGCATAATAGATTTGAAAGATATCTTTTTGAGTATCCAGGTAATTTATTGAAGTCATTAGAATCAGAAACTTATTTTTTTATTATGTAGGATTCAATATATGCTCGAACGAACAAATCACAAAACGAACCAGTAACAGATATAAAATTTTCTTCCTTATTTGGGTTGCAACCGTAAGTTAATTTTCTAAATATGAAGTTGAAATGGTTTTTATTACTAGACAATCAGAAGCTAGGCAAGAATTCGGTGACGCGTCGTCTAAAGCAATTCGCAACACCTCCAAAAGAATTGTATTAAAGATAATCGCATTACACACGCTGCTGCTGGAGATGACATTAATTTTATTCCCCAGATAAAAGGCGTCGGTGTAATCATTAATTATTCTATATATGATTAAAACTTTCGATATCAAGAGAAAAATTCTAAAAAAACAATTATTATACTCTAGAAATGTACTATTAAATTTATTTATTTACTATAAATGTAGTTTTCTTGCAAATTATATTATGGTTTAAGATTCTCGTTTTTTTGTATCTAAATATAAATTTATCAGAACATCCATCATAAATGGGCTACCTTTTCATGCTTATAAACTATAATAAATTTTTCAGATTTTCTCGTGCATTAGTATTGCCTCCTTCTGCAGATTTTAAATACCATTCAATTGCTTTCTTCGAACTTTTAAATGTTCCTTTACCATATTGATAACAATAACCTAAACTATATTGTGCATTAGAACTTCCTCCTTTTGCAGACTTCAAGTACCACATGAATGCTTTCTTTATATCTTTATTTGTTCCGTTACCATAATAATAAAAACAACCTATGTTACATTGTGCGTCAATATTTCCTCCTTCCGCAGACTTCAAATACCATTCAAA